ATATAAGAAATTTTAAAACCCAAAGATATTTGAATAAAGAAAAAATCGTTCGAAAGCCTAACTACATAATAATAAATAAATTGTATTGGTTAATTATCACATGTTTGAATGTTTAGCCAATTATTCAATTTCATGTGATTGACCAATCACGAGAAAGTTATCCTATAGATATCGATCCCAAATTGTTGACTTCGAAAAGTCACATGAACCGGAAAATCGATCTTATGCCCTGATCCCTGGACAAATGAGTAGGTAACGGAGCCAAATTTTATACCAGCTACTTGACTTTTTTACGAGCGTTCAAATGAAGATAACTCATTGCATTTTTGACATGGATGGTTAATATTTTTGCAATTGCTTGTATGATACGCATTTATTTTACCAATTGACCTACATAATTAAATATTTTGACGCAGGTTTATTGTTGGTATGTTTTATATAGTTACACTTCTAGAAATACAATAATATTGGCTGTGCTAATTCATATAATTTAATAGGATACGGAGCGACTCTATACTGAAGTGTCATGTATTTATTTTTTGTAAAATTAAAAAACCAAGTAAAAGATATTAGGTTAACTTGGAGGTATAAATTTGTTAGCGGAGATTCTAGCAAGGTACGGAAAAACTTATACATGGGAACTCAAATCGCGTTTAATGGGACTCCCTCAACACGAGGTAAGAAATTATTTCATATTGCTTAATTGTTTTAAGAAACGACCTATCTAATTAAAAACAACCAATATTTTGAGTCTAGGCTTGCGTTGCCTTTGTAAATGAAACAGGCATTGACCTAACGGCGGAGGAATACCTTAAAGAACGAAACGAAAAACTGGTAATTTCAACTAGTTTGATCTAATAATGATAACCTAAATTTCGATCTTAAAATGAGGTTTAAATATAAAGAATAAACTATCACCTTATGTCAAACCTATGCCTGGTGTCATGGTATGTCAGATTCATAAATTAATTAGCATAAGTTATTGATACAGTATTGAATGACACATTTTATAATGAAACAAGCGACTTATAAAACATTTGAAAGCACATAATATTCCAATGGCAGTAGGTGTATTTACAAATTACAATGTGAAAAGTTGTATATTTTCTTTATAACTTAATAATATATGTAATGAATGCTATAGGTAGCAACAAGTTCATACCGCGATAGTTTCGAGGTTAAAACAACCAATAATCAAGAGCTTTTTAGTATGTTCGACAGTATTACCTGTGGCGATGATCCGGATGTCAAGTGTGGCAAGCCAGCACCGGACATATTTCTTGTAGCAAGTAAGAAAATAGGAAATCCTCCTGTTGAACAATGTTTGGTATTTGAAGATGCAATTAATGGAATCCAAGCAGCGAAAAATGCGGAAATGAATGTAAGGTTTAAAAATCATGATTTAATCAAATAAAAGTAAAAGTAGTTATATTATTTAAAAAAAAATATAGGTTGTTTGGGTAGCACATCCGGAATTGGCGGCAATATATCCAGGTAATAATGGAGCGGATGAAAAGATTTTTTCATTGGAAAACTTTAATCCAGCGAAATATGGATTACCACCTTTTGATGGCAGTTTATGATTTGTTATTTAATTTTATTATTCGAAGAATATTTTTAATGACAGATTATATAAGCGCAGTCAAGTGAAAAAATAAATTATTTCACGGAGTACATGAAAAACCAATTACATACATACTGTATTATTATTATTATGGGGCCTACAGCCCGAAAACTTAGATCCTCTTGGCAGTCATATGGTTGTACAACACTACTTACAGTAATGTTTAAAAACCCACTAATGTCACTTAATTTATGTGAAATATTTAATATATATAAATTTTATTACAAAATTTAATATCTTGGTTTCATATCGATATATAAAATTTTTTTAAAAACCTACCCGGTTATTAAGACATAAAAATTTTCTGACCAATTAATTTTGCATGGCATTATCATAATGTTTTCGTTCAAATTTGATTAATGATTGTTCAAATTTGCTTTGTTAAAAAAGCATTTAATTTATTTTTTTAAATTGAAACACTTAACAGCTAGTATTGATTGTTTTGTCTCTTGTCTAACCAGTAACTTAACAACTTTTGCATATGGCTTTTCAATTGTTACATTTATTGTGTAAAGTTATTTTTAGGGAGAATAAAAATAGATACGTATCATACAAGCTTCTGCATCATGAAAGAATCTATACTAAGAGAAACTAGAAAGATTTATGAGCAGATGAATAATAAATTTTTATGCACGTCCTAAGGAGATTGCATGTCGATGGGACACTGCCACAATCATTTGGAACCATTGTAATTAATCAAGATTAAGTGCCAATGATAATAGATAATGTTTTTAACACAATCATATGAATATATTCAACGGTATTAATTACTACTTTAGGAGGCCAAGCATCCATTTTTTGTCACCAAAAACAAATTCCTATAAATAATAAATATTAATCTTATCAATTTAGACCTTTTGGTTCATGACTGATAAGAATCGGAACCAAGCATTAAGAATAATTAGCAGCCAAGGTTAAATAAAATACATGCGAAGACATGAATACGTACGTACCTAGATTGTTAAATGTCACATCTTTTCGAATCACTTAAATGACACTCACGAGTAAATTCTAATTTATATTCTAAGAAGGGTTAAGATTACTGTTTCAAAGTTTATTCTTATGAAACGGACGATTGGATAAATTTACGAAAGTTAGGAAATTTGGTAACACTGGAAACGAACCTTTTATTACTAGTTTTCTTTTTTGTTTATTATATACGAGGCCGTATGACAATTGTATGACTTGTCTCGTTGATGTAATATTGTGATAATAAGATAGTGATTTGAAGATGTTATAAACTATGTAAACTATGTAAACTATATATAAATTATTTTCAATTGTGTAATGTGAATTCGATTCTGCAATCTTACACTATCATTAACTGAATACTAAATCAGGCCGGGAATATGTTTGTGCTGTATAAAAGACAAAGTTTCTATAAATATTGGACAGAGAAGGGTATTCGATCAACTTCGAATTTCGGATTTTTTTATTCTCATTTCTCTTTTCCCTTTAATTATTTTAAATTTTAAAATATTATCATTTAAAACTTCGGCTTGGCTGCACAAAGTTTACTGCAACGAATCTTTATTAAACCTAAACAAATCTTTATTAAACATTATATATCTCTATTTTTTTTTACCAACCTACTTTCGTCGTTTCACGAAAAGACATTGACGCTTGTCGTTGATATCCTGCAGCTATTATTGTAGACACTCAGGTATAGAAAACTTTGATATTTTGTAACACATTTACACTCCTCTATAATTATTCATTATTTTCTTTTCAGTTGTGATAAATACGTATTTACTACTATTTCTGCAACACAAAACTTTCAAGCATGCGCACAGGCGGCCTTTTTCGAAGGAATACTGTTGTTACCCCTAAACGCGATGAAGATTTCGGAGATTACGCGACTGTTATTAGCTCGGAGGTAATGACCGTTGTAGATGAATTTATCTTTTAATGTCTTGGTTTAAATTATATTTTTTGATACTGATCTATTTTCTTTTTTTTTTTTTTTTATCAAAAGGATGACCCAAAAAGACTTAAGGAATATATCACCAAGCTATACAAGTCTCTAAAGGAAAAGGTGCGTGACGTAGATATTTTATACTGTGTAATATTATATTATTTGTCCATAACTTTTTGGAAATAATTTTTTCTTTTAACAGAGTAAAGGTCTTAAGTCATCCTATGCAAAACTTGATTTGTTGAATAATGAAATCAGTCAAGAGAAACTGAGGTTGGTAGACATTGAAGATGAAAACAAGTCACTTCGAGGTACGCGTTTTTTTTGTTTATATTAAATGTGTTAATAGTAAAAATATCGGTTTTTCTAATTTTTCATAAATATTAATTTATTCAGACCAAATGCAAGAAATGGCCGATCAATTGGCGTCCAAGGATGAATTATTTAGTCAATGGCAGGCGAAGGTGTGAAAATTTTTATGAATTACAGAAATCAATTTAAGACATTGTTTTAATTAAAAAAAAAAAAAAAAATTCCTTTAGTTGGTTGAACAAACACAAAGAGAACGCGATGTGCTAATTGAAGAAATGGATGAAGAGCGCGCGCAATTCAAAGAACGGATCAATCAACTTGAAGATGCTTTAAATCTCGCCAATGTAGAAATTACACGATTAACTATCGAGATGACTGATCTAACCAATTCACAAAAAAAGAGACGAATGTCAACTACTAGTACGACGGATGAGAATAGATCTTCCTTGGATATATTGTTTAATGGCAAAGTTTGTTTCCGATTTATACATTTACATAATTTTTATAGTGTATGTACTAAACTGTAATTTTAAATTTACTAGAAGAGTAAAGAAGATGATCGATACGAACTTACGAAACAAATCTTAGAAATCACACAACGAAGGATAAGTCTACAAACAGAGCTTACATTATTAGAGGACCAGTATGATGATTTAAAGGTAAATAGGGTACTAAATATCAAAGATCATATACGAAGTTCTTATGTGGGTACTTTTTTTATTTATATTGATGTAATTTTTTTTGACGATTTGAAAATTAAAAAGATTCAATCAAATCAACTCTCGAAGGAGAACCAACTACTCCGGCAAGAAAACGACACCCTTAAGCAACAAATTGGGAAAAAAATGTTTATGAGGTCTTTAGAAGATGTCAATTTAAATGAATAAAAGTTACACGTGGAACTTCTCTTGCTTGTCAATAAATTTTTTTTTTTTGGCGTGCATAATATGCTGGTCATTGATTGAAAAGTTTCACAAAATTACTTTGGAATGCCACAAACTATAGACTATAGTTTAAATTATTTATAGCTTAAATTTATACGCAATGAAGTCTCAATCTTTCTTTCCAATATCTTGTGTGATATAGGTTAAAAAATAATCTATAATTCATTTCATGATTTGTGGCTATTCTATATCGATATCATTGAAAATAATCAGATATTGATTTATCTGAAGAATTCACATGCTCAAATTTTTTTTTTTTTGTATTCTGTAAATAGTCAAAGTTGTAGCAATTTTGGTTAATTGATTGTAGTTTCATATATTGGATATATTGGGCGATCGTTTTGTGTATTTTTTTTTTTTTAATTTTGCTGAATAAATTAAGTAGATTTAATTCACTTACCACTTATGCTGTTTAATAATGTAAATATTACATTATATAAAGTTCTTTTTGTCTTTTCATATTAAATATATTAAATAATACTAGGTTGATTGGTATATGCATCAAATAAAATCAATTTGGGTAAGAAAATTATTTGTTAACTGAGTTTAGATGTATTTTTAATATGATAAACTATTAAATTTACACGAAGGGATCTGTTTGCATTAATGATATGCATCAACCATTTTTTGATATTATATGTTGCAGCACGAAGATTACCGAAAACAGGGGCATCTTTGATTGAATTTAAAACATGCAAAGGTTCTTCTTTCGTGGTAGCACAAAATACAAAATGTTTACGTTAAATGCTTTATCACTTTGTATTAACCTTAAGGATATTAACATAGAACATGATGATCCGGAGACAATATTAAAAGATATTCCGAAATATATCACATTACCACACAATTCATGAATGGTTAAACTCTATTTTTAAAAATCTCGATGAACCTTGATTGTGTTAACGCTCAATCAACTTCATTTATCAAAATGGATAAATGAGTCCATGAAAAATATTCTAGTTTTTGTTTGTATCGATCAACTAGAACTTAGTAGATTCGCGCCTTGCATAACGGCATAATATATAAAGGAATTGTATGAAACGGCGTGGGTATCATTTCATTCATTTTAAACATATATGGACTATCAAATGTTGTACGGAAAGTGGCGCAAAAAACAAAATTGAAAAATGGTTTTGTGTCAAATTGACGAATATATGTGACATATCAATGCTGCATAATGGTGAACACTACATAATTGATTTGTTTAGGTACGTACACGTACATACGTAGCGATAATTTGTGTGTATTACAAACTTTCCAAAAGAAAATATACAAACGTAATTTTATTTGGTTTTCTTTAATTGATTTCGTAATTTATTTGGTTTTCTTTAATTGATTTCGTAATTTATTTGGCTTTCTTTAATTGATTTGGCATTAGTCAATTTTTAAGAACGTAACTATAAGGCTATACAAACTTAATAATTTGGTTCTCATAAAATTTTTTAAGTGACCTGGCAACCCGGCTTTTAATTTTATTTTCAAAAACTTTTATATATAAAAAAATAAAATGCTTTATAGATTTTTTAAAATAACTTAGTTAGGTAGTAAGTATACTTAAAATTTTTTTTAGAGTTTTGTAAATTTTGATTCATGAAGTTTGTATGTCTTATTCAAACCGTGTTAAATCTATTATAGGTGACACCAGAGTTTAAAATTTAGTGTTCTCATAGTTTTCAAAGAATATTTGATTTTTTTTAAAAAAACATTAATATTTAAAATAAGATTTTTTTATTTGAGAACATTTTATTCTTTTAAAATAGTAAAAAATTATTCAATATAATGAACTAGTATATTAAAAAGATCATTTGAATCAAGTTTAAAGTTAATTTAAATCTAGCTTAAATAAAATTAGTAATATTTTGGTATTAATTAATTTGTATTATATATTTATAATTATAAAATTATATATTTTATAAAATTAAATAATTTTAATTTGAATTATTAGAAAAGATATCCCTTAAACTGTAGATCATTTTCAGGCAAATTTGCCTGAAAAATTAACAAAAATATATTTACGATCTATATTTTTTAAATTTTAAAATATTTAAATAAAATATTGTTTAATAATATTTAAAAATAAGGATTATAATATAGTAATATTTAATTTTATATTATAAAAAAAAAGTTTAAATTATTTATAAGTTACAAATAAGCAAATTTAAAAAAATTTTATAATCAAAAAAATATTCACTAATTTTTAATAAATTTTTTAAATATTAATTTTAGACTTATAGTTTTTAATACAATATTATAACTTATATAAAGAATGACAACTTTTATTAATACAACTTTTTTAATTTACTTGTAAAAATTTTGACTTGTATTAAGAATAAATTTTTTTTTAGCTTCAAAAACATATAAAATCTTGAAAAGTTTAAAAAAATTTTTTATACTAAAAATTTTTAAACAAAATCTTTAAATTTTTATTATTTAAAAGTTTCTTATTAATTTTAAAAAAATTTTCTAATAAAGTTTGTAAAGTATATTTTTAATAAAATATTTTATAAGTAAACTGTACC